CCACTAGCTGGGAACGTAGACAAAATTACATTCACATGTTCTCCACGCCAGCCATCCACTTGCTGAGATTCCAGGAGGCAGAATTTAAAAAGTTAGATAGATTTATAGCAACAGTATATACTATGTCCTTGGGAAACATTCTCTTGTGATAGAAAAAAGGCTTTGAGATCGCCTCATGCGGACTTCATGCTAATGTTGATTCATGGACATATAACGCCCACGGGATTGTTTACTAAAGAGACAAAGTGGAATCAGAGGTCCCCTTTCCCCCTTATTTTCTGGCCTGTCTATGGCTTATATATTCAAGTTGTGGAGAACCGAAGAGTTTATGTACTAGAGAGGTGGTTAACTTATTCCAAGGAAGTCAGATATATATGTATGTGGATGTGTGTGTGAGTCGGAGTGTAGCGATACTCGTGTGTATCATTAAAACCGGCCCCTCAGGGACTTTACATGTAGGAAACAGCTGTTCCCTATGGTCTGTACTACATTATGTCAGTAAAGTAACATTGTGAGTGGGTGTGAGAGAAGTCTATAACCACTAACAAGTTAAATCCTTCAGGAAATAAAACACAGAGATTAGAGCTTGACTGAGACTTAGCTCCAGATAAAATTAATGTTAATAGGGGGCCGTGCCTAAAATTTAATTCGGTTTTCTTCTCCTTTCTACTAATGTTGATTACGTCTATTAGGAATTTATACTTGACGGTAGAATAAGAAGTTTTTATTATACACTCAGGTATATTATTATCGTCGATTGTATCATGATTGCATTATAACAATCTCTTCATATGGTAAGTTGTAGACAAAGCATCTGGAAAAGGGTATTAGTGGTGGGAATAAATTTCAGAGGGACTAATGAGAAACTTCTGGCTGACAGAAAAAGAATGGCAGATAAAGGGCTTATAGTATCTGTGAAATATTTGTGTGTGAGTAGTCACTATTCCAATCCATTCATCCATTTAAACCAGGAACATTGAAACCATTATATAATGTATAGAATTCTATTCACACTTATTGTTTTCCATTTTTTTCTGCCCATTAAGAGTCTTATAACTAAAGAGATTGGAAAATACTTATTTTCAGACTTTGGGACCACATTTTAAAGTGTATCAAATATTCCACACAATGCTAATAATTGCCTAAGGTGATCATGAAGGAATAACAACGAAAACATCATACCGAGTAACCCGCACTAATAGTCACTTTCCCAGACATTATCTGTGCTTGATCCTCAGAAGAAAATTAGTGAAGGCAGGGGGCGCCTGGGTGGCTCAGTCAGTTGAGCATCTGACGTCAGCTCAGGTCATGATCTCACAGTTCATGGGTTCGAGCCCCGTGTTGGGCTCCGTGCTGCCAGCTCAGAGCCTGGAGTCTGCTTCGGATTCTGTCTCCCTCTCTCTCTGCCCTCTCTCGCTCATGCTCTGTCTCTCTTTCTCTCAAAAATAAATACAAACATTAAAGGAAAAAAAAGAAATCAGTGAAGACAGAAGTGATGCTAAGTGACTTTTGGGACAAGGTCATTAAAATGCCATATATTTCTGTGCTCTTTTAAAAAAATTTTTTTTACATTTATTTATTTTTGAGAGACAGAGCACAAGTGGGGGAGGGGCAGAGAGAAAAGGAGACACAGAATCTGAAGCGGGGTCCAGGCTCTGAGCTGTCAGCACAGAGCCCGACCTGGGGCTCGAACTCACAGACCATGAGATGACCTCAGCCATGACCTGAGCCGAAGTCGGATGCTTAATCGACTGAGTCACCCAGGTGCCCCTCTCTGTGCTCTTAAAATGTCCACTTTCAACCAAGCCAGTATGCTGTGAGGAATCAAAGTGGCCACATGGATAGGGCACCTGCAGGCGTTCCACGTAAGACCCCAGGAGAGAACCAAAGTCAGCCACCAGATATGAGCGTGAGAGAGGAGGCTTCACATGATTTTGGCCCCCAAAAATTCAGTCATCTCCAGCCTTGACCCATCCCAGCTGCAGCCTCATGTAGTGACAGATGAGTTGTCCACACAAAACCATGCTCTAGCTTCATGAACAGAATATATGGTGATTGTTGTTTCAACACTAACCATTTTGTGGGAAGGTTTGTCATGAAACAATAGATAACTGCCACATAGGCACGACGATCCATCTACTTACAAAGGAGACAACAGCACACTCTCAGCTAACCCAGTATCATGTCGCTGAATATATCAGATCCAAGGCGAAAACCAGGTCATTTAATTTCAAGTCTAGTGCTCTTTGCTCTATACCACTAATGGTCAATGAATAAAGCATCCTTTTTCTGCAATCAGTAACTCTCAAATTTTGAGTTGTCCCTTATAAATACCAGTATATTTTTCACTTTTATTGACTAGCTGAAGTCTACTAATGCTGTAAAAATTAGAAAGTACACTGGCTGTTTTAGCTATGTACATTAACAACTCAAACATAATTAAGGCGAATCTGCCAGAGATGATGAAAACAAGATGATGAAAAAAGAATGATAAAAACTAAAAACTAACAAGCCAAAAAATGACTTGCTTTGTCATTGTTTCTGGAAATTTTCTCTGATCCTTTCTTGTCTTTGTCATATTTGGTCTCCCCTCTACACTCAAAGAGTTCTCTTTAATATTTCTTGCAGGGCTGGTTTGGTGGTCACAAAATCCTTTAGTTTTTGTCCGGGAAACTCTTTATCTCTTCTATTCTGAATGATAGACTTGCTGGATAGAGTGAACTTGGCTGCAGATTCTTCCCATTTCAGCACTTTTGAAAATCTCATGCCACTCTCTTCTGGCCTGCCAAGCTTGTTGAGAAAACTCCAGCCAGCTTTATGGGTTTTCCCTTGTAAGTTAAGGACTTATTTTGTTTTGCTGTAAGATTTTCTTCTTATCACTATATTTTGCAAATTTAATTACAGAATGTCTTGGTTTTGGGCTGCTTTTGTTGATTTTGAAGGGAGTTCTCTGTGCCTCCTGGATCTGGATGCCTGTTTCCTTACCCAGATTAGGGAAGTTTTCTGTTATTATTTTTTGAAAAAAATTTTCTTCTCCCTTTTCTCTCTCTTCTTCCTCATCTCCTATAATATGAATGTTATTACTTTTGATGGAGTCACTGAGTTCCCTAAGTCTATTCTCATGTTGCATAATTTGTCTTCCTCTCCTTTTTCAGCTTCATCATTTTCTACTATTTTGTCTTCTAGGTGACTAATTTGTTCCTCTGATTTTTTCCGGCCTGCTGTTCATTTCATCAAGCCGGTTTCCGAGCTCATTTATTTCACTCTCCATCTCTAATTCTCTTGTAACACTTTTCTCTGTTGTAAGAGTCTAAACGGCTATTAATACCTATCTATTAATAATTATTTTAATGTAAACAGATTAAATGCTCTATTCAAAAACACAGGTGTCAGAATATATAAAAACACAAGATCCATCTATATGCTGTCTATAAAAGACTCTTTTTTGACCTAGAGACACCTGCAGATTGATAGTGAGGGGAGGGAGAAACATCTATCATGCAAATGAATGTCAAAAGAAACAGTAGTAATTCTTATATCAGACAAACTAGACTTTTTTGTTCTTGTATTGTTTTTATTATGCTTTGGTGTCAGGGTTGACCTAGTGTCATGGAATGATTTTGAATGTATTCCCTCTATTCCATTATTTGTAAGATTTTGATAAAGGTTGTCATTAAATTTATTTAACGTTTGGCAGAATTTACCAATGAAACCATGTGGTCTTGGGCTTTTCTATGCTGGGAGATTTTTTTTTTTTTTTTTTTTTTT